TTTTTTGGTGGAACCGGGGATTGAACTCAGGCCCTTGCGCTTGCCAGGGAAGCGCTTATTCCACTGAGCCATCTCCCCAGCTCCTCTGTTTTGTCTTTTTGAGATAAGGTCTCACTATGCAGTTCAGGCTAGCTTTAACCCCTCTGTGGAGCCCAGGTTGGCCTCAAATTCACAGTGATCCTCCTATCTCGGCCTTCCCAGTGCTGGGATTACAGGCAGGCACCAACAGATTATGCTTTTGCAAGTAACAGGCCAGTAGGCCCAGGCATTTGTCCTTGGTCTTGACAATGGTCTCGGTGTCATGACTGGTTACATAGGGCACAAGCATTGTCTCTCTGTCACATTGCAGGCTGGGTGACAATGCAGAATCTGGGGCAGCTCCTCCCCAGCCTTTTAGGGATTCCCATTCCTTCTGTGCCATGCAGAAGCCGCCCTACTCTGTGGGCTGGGGCACTGGGGAGGCGGCAGTGCAGAGGGGTACAGCCTGAGGGGTTCCTTTCCTACCCTGTCAGCAGGAGCAGGCCCACAGGGCTGCATTCAGCTGCAGGGGAGGTTGGGAGAGACTGTGTCAGGCTGACTCCTACCATGGCTGGGAGGAAGGAAGAGAGAGATTTTGATGGGTGCCCAGGTCTGGGTCCTAAGTGACAATGCTGCTTTCATTTGAATTGAAACTTTTGTCATATCACCATTGTGCAGTGATTGGGCAGGGACAGGCTCTGCCACGTCATGTTTCCTGTTGCAACTTGGAGGATGCTCTCTTTCCAGGAGTTCCAATACGTTCTGCATCCTAGTCCTGGAAAGGGTCAGGGGTAGGGAGGACGTTCCCAGGCCCTGCTGCCTGGAGAGCATCCTGCTCACATCTCATTGGTCAACATGTGACCACCTGACCACTGTCCGCCACAAAGAAAGCTGGGAGATGTAGTCTTTATTGGCAACAGCCATGTTCCTGTGAGAATCCATCAAGGTCAGGAGATAGATTGGATGTGAGGTCATGTATTTTCATCTATTTATCTTTTGATGCAGAACTGAGACATAAAAAAAAAAAGATATTTTCTTTGAGGGTATATCTCCTGATAGAGCATTCTCACTGACTTACACTACCCCCAGAACTTATGGCTATCATCTCTTTCTCCTTGTCCCCTATGATGCTGGGCGTCACGCCCAGGGCGTCCTATGTGTAAGGCAGGCGCTCACCACTGAACTCCGTCAATAGCCACTTTTTATTTTGAGACAGGTACTTGCTTACTTCCCCAAGCTCTCTTAGGGTTGAGCTCTTCCTGCCGCAGCTTCCTGAGTATCTGAGATGACAGGTGCGAGTGCCACTGCCCCGGATGTTTGTACCTGATGCTTGTATTTGGGGCAGGTAACTGAGGATGGAGCCCAGAGCCTTGTGCATTCGGAGCAAGTGCTCATCACTAACATATCTGTCTAGCCCAAAGTGAAGCAAGAGGTTAGGCTACCTTCAGAGGAGCCGGCCCTGTCTGGCTTTCCTCAGCCTCCGCCTGTCCTGACTCTGGCAGATCCTGATAGGCTCTGCACAGGGCACACATCTCTCAAGGCTGTTCCCGCCTGTGCTGCCACTTCTATAGGAAACCCTGTGCGTCTCTTCACACCCAAACCTCCTTGGGTTAGCTTCATGAGGCCTGCGTGGCCCCTGCTACTCAGCTGTGGTGTGTGCAGGGTCCAGAATGGTAAAGCCCGACGCAGTGGTGCACACCTGTCCTGCTGGCCGTTCAGGAAGCTGGTGCAGGAGGATCTTAAAAACAAAGGAGCAGGGGGCTGGAGAGATGGCTCAGTGGTCTAGAGCACCTACTTGGAACAGGCTTGGCAAAGCACAGGGACTGCGGTTCGATCCTCCAGCACCACATGCCAGCCAGCCGCGCCCCCTGGTGGGCTGAGCTGGCCACACACACACACACACACACACTAAATGTTAAAATTAAAAAAAAAAAACAACAAAGGAGCAGCAGCTCATTTCTGTACCATCTGAATAAAAATGCTGCAGCTCGGTGGAAGATATTTCCCTAGCCTTCCTGAGGCCTGGTGTCATGTCCTCTGCCCTCCAAGAAAATAAAAAGCGTTTGCCTTGATGGCTAGCCCTTCCATCCACTCTTATTTTATTTTGACACGAAGTCTTGCTGTTACCTTAAATTCAAGATCCTCCTCACCTCAGCCTCTGCAATAGCTAGCATTGACGCCATGTGCCACCCACACAGGGCTCTGTCACCTCTTTAATGGTGCCTTTTCATGACACCTTATGAGAAGTGCCATGCCCCCTGGTCGTGACGCCTGAGCTTCAGGGATGCAGGGAGGATCCATGAGTTCAGGTGAAGGAGAGGAAAGGGGACGTCCCAGGAAAGGGGCTGGTGGAGTAACGCCCAGCCAGCGAGGAGTCACAGTGGGACCTGGAATGCCCAGGTGCTGGACATACAGTGGAGGGGGCAGGGCTCTGGGCACCAAGCCTGGGGCAGTAGGGAGCCATGGAGGAGTTTAGGGGAGGGGAGAGACTTGGCAAGGTCATCAGAGTGCTGTGGGTGTTGAACAGGGGCAGGAGCAGAGTTCAGAGAGCTGGCTGGGCAAGGGACCCTTTACCAACTCGCGTCCCTGTTACCCTGCAGGCCCTACAGTCCAAAAGGAAGGGTGTGGGCAGCAGGGCGCAGCTGTCCAGCCTGGTGGTGGTGAAGAAGACGAAGATAGAAGCAGAGAGCGCTGGTGCCCGGCGGCAGGGTCAGGCTCCTCCAGCCACAGGTCGGTCCCCGGGCCTGGGCTGTGTGCAGTGCCACCTGCGGCTGCTACATGGGGTAGTGCTCCCAGCCTTCTGGTGGCCAGGTGGAGGGGCGTGTGTCTGTCTGTGTCATGAGGAACATCGCAGCCTTTGTAGTTTTTAGGGTTTTTTCTGAGACAGGGCCAACTCTAGATTAGACTGGCCTTGAACTCAAGATGTGGCCCAAAGCCTCAGCTGGTCTTGAGCCTACCACAGTCTTCCTGCCACAGCCTCCCGAGTGCTGGACCTGGGCGTGCACCATCGTGCCAGGCCCCTTTTTATTTTCTGATGGGCTAAGTTATTAAGTTGTCAGGCTGGCCTGGCATTCAGTTTTGCTGCCTCAGCCTGTCATAGTGCTGGGATTACAGGTGTAAGCCACTATTTTTTTCTCCTTTAATTACAAAAAGAACAATAATTTTAAAATCCCAAATAAACCCCTAGTCCTCACATCCCGGGCCATGTCTTGGTGTCTGTGTCAGGATCCTGTACCTGGCCGCTGTCAGTGGCCCCTGCCCCAGGAGCTGGGCTGGGGTGGGTCAGCCTGGTGCTTGGAGAGCCCAGGGTTCCGGCCATGCAGCGCATCTGCCCACCAGGTGGCTGGAGTTGTAGCTCAAGGCGAAGGCCCTGGGTTCCATGCTGGAGAAGAAGTTCTTGAAAAGGACATGTGGCCTTGTGGCACTGGGGTGGAAGGCAGTGCATATGCCCATGATGGGGCCTGGCAGGGACCTTCCTGGCAGCCTCATGCGGTCCACCACAGGCCTGACCCACGAACAGAGGTGCTGCCCCATTTCTCAGCCATCCTCTGTCAACTTTCCTTCTCCCCACAGGAGCTGGAGAGAAGAGAGGGGCTACTCACCCCTCGCCACAGCCATCTGGCGCTTCTTCCCTGAGCCAGCTGGGAGCCTATGGGGACAGCGAGGATAGTGACAACAGCGCCTGACCCTGCCACCCCACCCCATCCACAGGGATTGCAGAGCTGCAAGCAGGCGGTCAGGAGGCCTGACACTTCCCAGAACTATGGTGCACTCAGTGTTGCTCCTGTTCTTGGTTCCTCCTGCCCTGTCATGGGCTGTGCCTCCGGCCTTTCCACCAGAGCTGCAGGAACCAATAAAAAGCACTATCTGCAGGTCGGTACCTACGCCAGAGTTCTGGGGGCCAGTGCAGCCTCTGTGCACGCAGGACCACTGCATTCCCCAACTCCTGATACCTAAGGGACCAAGTGGCCAGGGTCACATGGCCCCCACCTGTGTAGGGCCAGGGCCCTCAGCTTTGCTGCATCATGGAGTGTGTGGCAGGAGGCAGGTAGGCAGGGGCAAGGCCTGCTTTTCTCTCTCTCTCTCTCTCTCCTTTTTTTTTTTTTTTTGGTACCAGGAATCAAACTCAGGACCTTGTGCTTTCCAGGCAGGTACTTGTGCCCCTGAGCTGTTTGCCAAGCCTGTTTTTTTCTTAGTGGTACTGGGAATTGAACCGGGGCCTTTCACCCTGAGCTCCATCCCCAGCCCTTTGTATCTTTTGACACTCAGCCTTGCTGAGTTGCCCAGGTTGTACTTGATCTTGTCATCTTCCTGCCTCAACCTCCCAGAGTCCTGGGGTGACAGGCTTGACTGTCTATTGTCATGTTTAATTCTTGTTTCTGGAAGACTGCTCTTTCACTCCACATCCCCAGAGCTGCTTTGTTCTTGGCCCCCAACCCCCATGCAGGGTTCCTAGTGGAGAGCAGCAGAGGGACAGGCTGGGGTCTGTGGCTTGTGCCCTAGCTCCCTGTGCCCTTCTGGTGTCTTTCCCCCCCCACACCTTTCTTTTGTGCTGACAGTGCTATCGAGCCCACAGTGCTAGATAAAAGGAGCTGTCGCCCTGTCCTCAAAGCTGTCAGGCTGCATCCTGAATCTCCTCCATCAGTTCCCCTGGTGCCTTAGGCCTGTGAGCACATCAGAGGGCTGGGGATGGGGGACAGTACAGCCCCCCTGCCACCCGCTCTTGCCACCCGGGCTCAGAAGAAGAGCTTGTGCCTGGCTCATGCCCGGCACTGTGCCAGGCTGTCCCTGCCACCGCCTCACCAGCTGTCACTGCCCCCCCAAGACCCCTCTGCCTGTGGCTGGTGCCAAGGGGGGGAGGCCTGGCATGTGCCTGTGTGGGGCTCGGACCACAGCCTGTCACCAGCCAGCCGCCTGGGCACATCTCGAGTGGAGCCCCAGAAGCCAGGCCTGTCCTCTCATTAGCCGTGAGCCAGAGTTACCAGATGTAGTTCTGCCCTCAGCTGGGACCTTCAAAGGACAGAACTGCGCCTCCCATCAGTTTGGGGGCCCCTGAAGAGGCTGTTTCCCTGGGACCGGGGGCTTCTTAACCATTGGTTAGGACTCATTTGTGAATGAGAAGGCACATCAGACTGGGGATGGTGGCACATACCTGTCACCCCAGTCACCTGGGAGGCTGAGGCAGCAGGACCCCAAGTTTTGGCTCAGCCTGGGCCCCTCAGAGATGCCCTGTCAGGTAAACAGGACTGGGGTGCAGCTTGATGTGAGCACCTGTCTAACAGGTTTATCCACAGCATTTCAAACAGCCGGTCAGATAGCTCAGTGGATTAAAGCATCTGCTTGGGCAGGCGCAAGGACCAGGGTTTGGTCCTCAGCATGCTGTGCTGGTCCCACCCCCAGGGCACTGAGAAGCAACTGAGATTGGGCGAGGTGCTGTGCACCTGTAATCCCAGCACTTGGGAGGCTCAAAAAAGGAAGCTCACTAGGAGTCCAGTCTATGTAGTAAGGCCCTGTAGACCTTGTACTAAATGCGTACAAAAAGAAAAGAAAAAAGATAGGCTATGTCCAGGAGCTCCTAAGGTAGGGTCACCCCCACACTGTCCATCAGATAGGATCTCACCATGTAGCCCGGCTAGCCTCACATCACAGTGATCCTCTTGCCTCAGCCTCCTGAGTACTGGGGGCGGTGTGCACCACCATCCCTGGCTTCAGTCAGGATATTGTAAGTCCCACTGGGGATCACTTACCTGACCTGGTTGCACAGCTCTGGGTGGGGGCTCCAGGGGTTTGTGCTCCTTGAGCCAGTGCAGGGGACCTTGCTGCTGTCCTCGGAGACGTCGGACTCCAGCAGAGGTCACAGCATGGCCCCACGGACAGGAAACTCCCAGGACAGGTAACTCCAGAGACAGGCAGTGGCCTCGGGGTGCCAGGCTGGGGAGGGGAGCAACTGCTTATTGGATCTGGGGCTTTTGGGGAGATGACAAATGTTCTGGAACCAGATAGTGGTGTTGATTACAGTTTTGTAAATATATTAAACACCACTGAGGGGCTGGAGAAATGGCTCAGTAGAATAAGCGCTTGCCTGGCAAGCACAAGGGCCTGAGTTCAATCCCCGGTTCCGCCAAAAAACACCACTGAATCATTCTGTGTGTGTGTGTGTGTGTGTGTGTGTGTGTGTGTGTGTGTGTGGTTCTAGGGTGCGGCCCAGGGCCCCAGTGATGCTAGGAAAGCCCCGCCCTGCGCTTCACATGAAGGCAGCATGGATGTGGTGGTGCGCACCTTTCCTTGAAGCACTCAGAATGCTGAGGCAGGAGGATTGCTGGCATTCAAGGCCACCCTGGGAGAGAATCCAGGGCAACCTCTTAAAGCCCTGGTTCAATCCATAGTACTGGGAAAAAGGTAGGGTATGAACTCTAGGATATAAGAATTGTATTTCAAAAAGCAAAACAAACCCCCCCAAATCCAGGTGGGCAGCTACCATCAACCAGGCTGCAGCTCCCATTGTTTTTTTGGGAGAACATAGCCCATGTCACCCCAAGGTCACAGAAGCTGGGGTTAGGGTAACTGAGAACGGGTTTTCAGGAGGCTGAACCTCCACCCTGTGGTCAGATGCTGGCTGCCCGCGGAGTGATGGGACCCCTAGCCTGGTTCCCCTCCTCCTCCTGTTCTTCCCTTCGGGGTGGGGGAGCGCTTGGGAAGGCAGCTCAAAGGCGCTGGGAAGTCAAACGCCGTTTGATTCTGCCTGGGGCCCCTAATTGCTATTCCTGCCACAGCGTGTAATTAGAAGGCCCCTTTCAAATATTTATACCTCAGCCGCAGCGTATTTATCCGACAGAGACAGAGCTCCGCTCCGATTTGATGGGATCTGTCAACAGCTCATCCCGGGCTGGGAATTGCCTTGCGGCTGACAGAAAACAGGACAATTACCTGCCTTGCTCCCTAGCTGGCCCTAGGGACACCACCTTGCAGCAGATGAGAGCGGGAGAATGGGGAGCTGGTGGGAATGGAGACTGGGAGCCTGCGAAGCAGCCGAGCTCAACAGGTCTAAGATGAGGACAGAGCCAGTGCAGAAAGGGCCAGGTGATAGAGAGGGCCTTTGTCTTGTCAGCCCTAGGCCTCAGTGTTCCCACCTGGAAAATGGGGCGAGGGGAAAGGGAGAACTTCGGGTTCCATGAAGGGACTCCAGCACTGGCCACGCCAAAGCCAGGTCCTGTGACAGTGTTAAGGCACAAAGAAGCTGCTGGGTACCTAAAGCCCCCTCCACTCTGTGCCTCAGCTTTTTCATTTATAAAATGAACCTGTGTAATGATCTTGGGGATCCTTCCTCCAGCCTTCTGGGTTCTCCTGAAAGAAGCCTCGTTTGTCTTTCATTCTAAGACAGTCTTGTTTTGTAGTTCAGACTGGCCTTGAACTCACCATGAGCCCAGGCTGGCCTTAAACTGGTAGTGATCCTCCGGCCTTCGCCCCTCAAGTGCTGGGGTTCCAGGTCATTCCCCCAACCAAGGCAGGCAGAGCTGCAGCCCCTGCCCCCAGCCAGCCACTCGTAGGGGAGCAGCTCACAGCCCTGACTTCTGCCTGGCACTTGCTCCACTCCAAGCTGTGCTTCTGGGAGATCCAGGAGCTGGGAACCTGGGGTCCCCACTCTTTCCGAGCTCTTGTCTCATTAGGGGGACTTTAGCAAGGTCCCTTTAAGGAAAGAAAAGATGATTTTGCTCTCAAATTGGCCACTCCCCTACCAACCTTTCAATCCCTTAACTCCAGGCAGCTGTCGGTGAGAACGACCAAGAACCTTCTCCCATCCTCCCCCCCCCAAGCCACAAAGGGACAGATGCGAGGCCACCAGGCGGGCACAGATAGTATCTCCCCTACGGACCAGCTGCCCCTCCCCTCCCCCACCCTGCGATGAGTCCCCGAGCGGGACCCCCCTGGGGGAGGGGAGCCACCTCCAGTCCCTGCCCACCTCCTGCTGCGCCTGGCCTCCCTCCACAGCAGCCTGAGACCTCTCACAGTGGCCGCACGCACGATCGCGTCTCCCGGCCTGCTCGTTGACCCTCAAACGCTGGCTCAATCTCAAACCTCCATCGCTGTCACCTGGACAATGTCACCCTTTCTCGCGGTCAGGCCCATATCCCCATTTCTGAGTCCACTTCCACCTCTGCTCCGTACCATCCCTGTGTCCCCTGTACCCCTCGCGTCCCCAGGAGGTGCCAGCCCAGCCCATGCCCATCTCCCGCGCTCCACCTCCTTCTGCCCAAGTCGGTCCCGGGGTCCAGGTCCAGCTGTCGCCGCCTCGGCCCCGGCGACTCCCTCGCCCTGATCCAGCTCGCCGCCCTCCCGGAGCAGCTGAAGGTCTCCGTCACCTCCAAGGGGGCCCCGGGGGAGGGCAGGAGGCGGGGAAACCTTGACGCTGCGGCTGGGACGCGGTGGGGCTGGCGGGGACTGAGCCACCCGCCCGCGCCCCCTCCTCAAAGTACCCCCTCCCGGCGGCGCGCGCCGGCAAAGTCTCCCGAAAGCTGGAGCGCGGATTGCAGATTTTATTTCCCTTTGTGCGGGTGGCTGGGGCCTGATCGAGCCAGCTGACCGAAGGGACCTTGGGATGAGGGCGCCCCCTAAACCCCCCAGGGCACAGAGGAGTGCAACAAAGGATGCGCACGGCTCGGGTCCTGGTCCCCGTAGCGCAACTTCGCGCGCGCCCCGGGGTAACCTGCGAGGGACACTGAGAACCCAGGCGTCCCAGGCTGACTGGTGAGGGGACTGGGACCAGTGACCTCAGACTGCAGCCGGGGACCCCTGAGCTATCCAGCGGGCGGGATTCCCAGCAGCACACCCCGAACGCGCGGCCCGCGAAAAGTCCAAGCGCTTCCGCGGATGCCCCGCGTCTTGGCCGGACCACCGTGCGCTCGGCGTTCAGCGCTCCGCGGGACACAGCTGTCCCTTAAGGGTCTTCCGGAGCCAGGCTAAGGTGGGCTTCTCCCTCTCCGCCTTTCTCTCTGGCTGTGTACCTCATGCCCTCGCTACCATCCTTGCCCACCCCGAGGCCAGCCAAAGGGCACACCTATTCCTCCCGCTTCTGCTCCTGCTCAGCTTCTCATCGCCCTCCTCTTCCTCCTCCTCAGCTTCTTCCTTTTCCCTACCATTCTCCCTCACCCAGGCCCGAACCCCATGTGGGTTCCCCTCTACAGTACCCAGGTCTGAGGTGACACTGGCCCAGATGGCCAAGTGGCTTCGGGACTACCTGAGTTTCGGCGGCCGGAGACCCCCTCCGCAGCCGCCCACCCCCGACTACTCGGAGAGCGACATCCTCCTGGCCTACCGTATGCAAAAGGACTTGGACTTCGAGGACCCCTACGAGGACGCAGACGGCCGCCTTGAGCTGGACCCCGCGGCCCCCCCAGACTCGAAGGGTCCCGGCGACTCCAAGTTCGACTCCCCCAAGCACCGGCTCATCAAGGTGGAGGCGGCTGACATGGCCCGAGCCAAGGCTCTGCTGGGCACCCCCGGAGCGGAGGTGCGAGGCCGGAGGCGGGAAGCGGGACGGAGGTCAGGCGCAGCGCGGTGTCCCCAGAGCGCAGGGGGCTTGTTTTGTGCGCGGTCCCAGGGGCCAGGCACCAGGCGCTGCCCGCTCCTCCACCTGCTGGGGGCGTCTGGTATCTGCTTCTCAGGGCGGATCGCCTGCTGCGCCCAGTGCCCTGTGGCCTTTGCTCAGGCTTCCTACACAGAGCTGAGCCAGGCCCTGTCTTCCTGGGCTCGCTCTGTCTTTCTGTCTCTCCCTCCCTTTCTGCCCCCCCCCTTTTTTTCCTTTTTATTTTTCTCTTTTTAATTTTGAGACAAGACTTCTCTAAGTTGCTCACTCTGGGGTCAACTTTGAGATTGTCCTGCCTCAGCCTCCCTGGGTGCTGGGATTACAGGTGTGCACCTCTGCTCCTGATTTCTCCCTGGGCATTAAACATTCCTTCCCTTCTTGCTATTATGATTCCAATTTATAGCAAGTGGAACCGAGGCTCCAGGAGAAAGGTGACTCAAGGTCACAGAGCCTCCACCCCCCACCATGTCACACGTCTCTCCTGATGGTCTTCTGAAGCTGCGACATGGTTAAGAGCTCAAGGGAGAGGAGGAAGGGATGTAGCAGAACCAGGCCATAGCCTGCTCTGTGACCCTGGCCAGTCACTTCCCTTCTTTGTACTGTGGCTTCTCTGTTGTAAAACAGGGATTAGGTACTGGATGAAGGTTAGTTAATATGACACATAGGTATAAAGCATTTAGAACAGGATTGGTACCTGGGAATTTCTGCTTGTTTGTTGAGACAGGATATCTCTGTGTAACCCAAGGTGCACTTGAACTAGAAATCCTCTTGCCTCAGCCTCCAAAGTGCAAGAATCCCAGGCTTTTGCCACCAATGCCCGACTCGATTTTTTTTTTTTTTTGAGAGTCTCTATGTAGTTCAGGCTAGACTTGAACTCACTATGTAGTCTAGGTTGGCCTCAAACTTGTGATTATCCTGCCTCAGCTTCCCAAGTGCTAGGATTACAGCCATGTGCCACCATGTCCAACTGTACCTTGTTTCTTAAAACAATGTCTTGGGCTGAAGAGATAGCTCAGTGGTCTAAGCACCTCCTATGAGGACCCCTTCGGCAAGCTGAAGGACCCAGGTTCAATCCCTGGTACCACATGCCATGCCAGCCCCGCTCTAAAATCAGGTGTGGTGGCACACACCTGTAATCTCACAGCTGGGGAGACTGACACAGGAGGATCACTATGAGTCCGAGCTGGGTAGAAAGACCCTGTACCAAAAACATTAAAAAAAAAAAAAATCTTATTGTGTAGTTCAGGCTGGCCTTGAACTATGTAGCCCAGTTGGCCTCGAATTTATAGCCATCCTCCTGCCTCAGCCTCCTGAGGCTTGGCTCAAATATTAAGATTACTGGAAGGCCTGAGGCTGTAACTCAGTCATACAGTGAGTGCTTATCTAGCTTTTGTGGGAACCTGCGGTCCATTCCTAGCCCTAGCGGGACGAAAGGCCCAGAGTGGACAGGCAAGTGGTGGCCCTCTCCTGGCCAGCAGGCAGATCCCAGATCCAGGCCTTATCCCCCAAGCCCCTGCCCTCTCCACATCTTCTCTCCAGCCGGAAGTGGACACTGAGTATTCGGACCCCTTTGATGCCCAGCCTCTCCCACCACCCTCGGATGATGGCTACGCAGAGCCCTATGATGCCCAGCGGGCCATCAGTGGTAAGTGACGGGGCTGGGGACAGGTGACAAGGCTCCCTGTGTACAAGAGTTGACTGGTGTCCTTGGCCTCCCAGAGCTGCCATGCAGGGCAGTCCAGCTCTATGACACACCCTATGAGGAACAGGACCAGGAGCTGGGGGAGAGTGTGGCTCCTTCCAGTCAGAGGTCTGGGCAGAGCCGGCTGCCCCTGGAGGATGAGCGGCCGGCGGATGAGTACGACCAGCCCTGGGAGTGGAAAAAAGACCACATCTCGAGAGCTTTTGCAGGTACCTCTGTGACCCAGGCCTCCATTGACCTCTGACTCTCCCATCCTGCAATTTCTGCTTTGGCTCCTGTCCTCTGTCTCAATTTCCAAGGTAGAACCCAAACATCTACCACTTCTGGTAGCTTGTTAATTCTCCCTAAACTGTGAGTGACTGTTGTCAGCAGTTCTTCCTCCACAAAGGTCCTGCATCTTCCTGGGGATTTGAAGAGCTCTTTAGAGTAAAATGGAACTGAGTGCCTTCTGTTGACTATAGTGCAAGGAGAGGAATGTGGCTTTGGTGTCACACCAGGCTTGTGACATTTACTTAGACAAGTTACTGTTATTTTACCGATCCTCCCTTCCCTTACCTCTAAAACACAGATTATTGCAGGACCTACTGAGCAGGGTGTCTGTAAATTGAATGCCAGAAAGAATTCAGTTATACAGGAGATGCTGACTGGGGAGGGGAGGGGTTCTTAGCCACACAGACCCAGGGTCAGATTCTAGCTGAAATGAGAAATTTGGACGAGGTTCTGAACAGCTTTCCTCTTCTGCAAAAAGGCAAACAAATGAGATTGGCTTTAAGAACTGAAACGCCTCTTAGCAGGGCTGGTGGCATACACCTATCCCAGCACTCAGGGAGGCCGAGGCAGGACCATCGAGAGTTCCAGCCCAGCCCAAGCAGCAGAGTGACTTGGTAAGATGCTGTCTCACAAAATAAGAAAAAGGGCTTGGGCTATAGCTCAGTGTGAAGGCCTGGGTTCAACTGCCAGGACCACACAGACAGACAGACAGATAGACAGACAGACAGACAGACAGACAGACAGACAGATAGATGATAGATAGATGATAGATGATGGATAGATAGATGATAGATATAGATAGATGGTAGATAGATGATAGATGATGGATAGATGACAGATAGATAAATAGATAGATGATAGGTGATAGATAGATGATAGATGATGGATAGATAGATGATAGATAGATGACAGATAGGTAATAGATAGTTGATAGATAGATAGATAGATAGATAGATAGATAGATAGAGTCGAATTACTCAGGCCCACCCAGACCAATTGCAACACAGAAATTGTATGACTGGCAGGGCATTTGGTTATCAAAGCTCTGGTCTGTATAATGGGGGTGGTTTCTAGTTTTATGACTTGGCCCCTGTTACAGCAGGACCCCAGGAGTGAATTCAGGACTTAAGGCCTCTGGTTGGAAATTCTCCACCTCCCTGGTAGCCACACCCCGCTCTCTGATGTCCCTCCCGGACTGCCCACACCTTCTGGGTCCCTAGTGACCACACCTTTTTCTTCTAAAAGCCAATTGGTTGTTTCTGATCCTGTCCCGCCCTACCGGGTAGGCTGGTCCTAACTCTTTCCCCTCCCACCCTCCCGTCCAGTGCAGTTTGACAGTCCTGAGTGGGAAAAGACTTCGGGCTCGGCCAAGGAGCTGCGGAGACCCCAGCCCAGAAGCCCGCAGCCTGCGGAGCGTGTGGATCCTGCCCTGCCCCTGGAGAAACAGCCGTGAGTGGGGAAGCTGAAGGTGGAAACTCCCAAAGGCCCACTCCAGCCCGTTATAGACTTCAACTTAGCAGACAGCTGTTTTTCATTTTTCTGTCACAGACTATGGAACGTGGGGAAACTTTCATTCATTCACCCATGTTGTGCCTAACAAAGCTCAGGAGCCGAGCACCTGGCCCGAGGACCCCTCCCCCAACCCCAGGACTCGGCCCTGAGCCCTGGGCCTTCACACTGAACTACTTCTCCCATTCCCCACCCCTTTATTATTTTTTATTTTGAGAAAAGGAAGACCCGTTAGCCCCCCACAACCAGGCTCTTCTCAAAAGCTCCAAGGGAAGCCGGGCATGATGATACGTGCCTGTGATTCCAGCACTTAGGAGGCTGAGGCAGGAGGATGACAAGCTCAAGCCCAGCCTGGGCAATGCTGTGATTTAATGGGACCGGACACAGAACTTAAAAAGGTTGGGGATGAAGCTCAGTGATAACATTCCTAAGGTGGTGGGGATGTGGCTCAGTGGTAGACCTCTTGCCTTATATACACAAGGCCCTGGGTTCGATCCCTAGCACTCCCCACCTCCCCAAAAAAGGCCAATGTCATTGTCCTGGCGCCAGGAGGGTGGCCCTTCAGGAGGCCTCTTTCCTCCCCCCAGGTGGTTTCACGGGCCCCTGAGTAGGGCTGATGCTGAGAACCTTCTGTCACTCTGCAAAGAAGGCAGCTACCTCGTGCGGCTCAGTGAGACCAGTCCCCAAGACTGCTCCCTGTCCCTCAGGTGAGACCCAGCCTCCCAAGGGCAGAGATCACAGCCGTGATTTCTAATTAGAGGGGTGATTCATATGCACAGAGGGCTCCAGCAGGCAGGGGCGGGGCTTCGAGGACCAGCGGGTGGGGCTTTGAAAGTGGGCGTGGCTTTCAGGGAGAACTTCATGGTTCTGAAGGAAAGTGAATTCTCTGTGGTTGGAGGTATGAAGAAAGATGGAGGGACCTGGGAGATGGCTCAGTGGAATAAGCACTTGCCTGGCAAGTGCAAGGGCCTGAGTTCAATCACCGGTTCCACCAAAAAAAGATGGAGTGTAAGTCACAGGAGATACAGGCCTTGGGTGACACTGGGAACAGATTCCTTTGCACTACCTTACACTTCCAAGTGTGTTCAGTTATAAGATGTTCCAAAGATTCTACTACGTGCCTGAGCGCAAGATCTAAAAGGACAAACTGGGAGAGGGCTTTTTTTTTTGGTTTGTTTTTGTTTTTAATTTCTTTTCTTTTTTTTTTTTGGCGGGCCCAGTGATGGAACTCTAAATTTCTTAATATTTTTAATTATAGGAAAATTTTAGGGGGGCTGGGGAGATGGCTCAGTGGAATAAGCACTTCCCTGGCAAAGTGCAAGGGCCTGAGTTCAATCCCCGGTTCCACAAAAAAAAAAAAAAAAAAATTAGGGGAGAGGGCTTGGAGGCAGGTTCAAATCCTGTTTTTGCCACTTCCTGCCTGTGTCATCTTTGTAAAATTACTCAACCTCTCTGAGCCTCCACTTTTTTAAATCTGTGGATACAGTAACAGCATCAACTCTCTGCTGGTCCTGTGATGATGACATTTTTGAAAATAGATGAAGTATGGGGCCGGGGAGATGGCTCAGTGGAATAAGCGCTTCCCTGGCAAGTGCAAGGGCCTGAGTTCAATACCTGGTTCCGCAAAAAAAAAAAAAAAGAAAAGAAAAGAAAATAGATGAAGTAGCTGGGCAGGGTGCCCACCTGGAATCCCAGTACTCTGGAGGCTGAAGCAGGAGGATTGCTGTGCAGTCAAGTCCAGCCTGAGCTATACAAGGAGTTCAAGGGCAGCTTGCACTACATAATAAGATGTCTCAAAAGAGTGGAAAAATGCTGAGAGCAGCAGTGCCTCAAAAACAGTAAGCATTTAATTAATGCTAATTATTGTGAAATGATTGCCAGGGTCGCGGTCATTCCACTCCCTGGGGGTTGACTATGGATAGCACAAATGATCAGCAGAAATTTTGGATGAGAGAGTTGGGTAACTCTGGGGGTGCTTGGAGTGAACCGCCTCCACCTCTGCACTGAATCTACAGTAATTGAGCACCTACTGTATTCAAGGCTCTAAAGCACCAGAGATACGGATCATGCCAGATTGAGATAAGGGATAAGAAGGAAAAGGACCAAGACAAATCAGAGAGTGGGACCAGGCTGTCCACAGGCCTCTGGAAGAAAGTGACAGCTGCCTGAGCTGGGAGATATTAAAGGGAAAGAGCCGATGTGGTGGCGCACTCCTATAATGCCACTATTTTGAGAGACTGAAGCAGGGTTACAAACTTCAGGGCAGTCCCGGGGAGAGATCTCCACCCAGACTGTCTTTGCAGGGCACCCCTAGGCACCGATGGACAGTGTTGGGGGCCTGGGGAACTCACCACTGCCTCTGCCCCCTGTTCCCCCAGGAGCAGCCAGGGCTTCCTGCACCTGAAGTTCACTCGGACGCGGGCGAACCAGGTGGTGCTGGGCCAGCACAGTGGCCCCTTCGCCAGCGTCCCCGAGCTGGTGCTACACTACAGTGCACGGCCACTGCCCGTGCAGGGCGCGGAGCACCTGGCGCTGCTGTACCCCGTGGTCACACAGAGCCCCTGCCCTGCACCCTAAGAGACACTGTGGAGACCTGGAGACCGATAAACACCCCAGACCCTCACCTCATCCAGGCCATCTCTGACCCAGTGGGGTTCCAAGGCCTAAGACTGTCTCTGAGTGGAGTGTTGTCCTTCCCCAGCCAATAAATCAGTCATTGTCACTTGCCGGTGGCCTTCCTTGGCTGCAGGGATGCAGGAATTTCAGAGGCACAGTGGGGGAGCCCGGGACACCCTAGGCAGCTTCTTCATCCTTGTACTGCCCACATGGATGGCCAGAAGGCACTTGCCTCTCGGAGGGAACAGGGTGTCATCAGGTCTTTGTTTTAGGGACAGAGCTATGGGATCTGGTGCTGATCCAGCAGGGGTGGAGACAAGTGTGGGGAGGCAGGGCCGGAGGCAGCTATAAGAGCCGGCCTGGTGGAAAGAATGCGGAGATGGAAAGATGGAGGGAGAGGAGGCCAGGCCCCGCCCCCTCCTCCACATCCGGGCAGCTCCCAGACCTGATCGGCTGAAAGGACATCTGTCCCCATGGAAACCGAGGTGGGGGAGGGGAGCCGGACAGGCTGGTGTCACTTCAAGGTAACTGTAGGAGGAGCTTGGTTCAACCTCCTGCTTCACTCCAGGACCAGGAGAGGGAGGCAGGGAGGGGGTCTCCAGCGCCAGACCCTGCTCCCAAACTGGGAGGACTTGTCCCTACAAGTATAAGAGGGACTAGTTACAGGGTCCCCTTATCCTTGTGGACTTCCCTAGCCATCTCTGGGGGGACCAGGAACTCCAAAATTTCAATCTTTTTTTTTTTTTTTTTTTTTTTTGAGAAAGTATCTTGCTATGTAGCACAGGCTGGCCTTGAATTCACTATATATCCCAGCCTGGTCTCAAACTCATTGAGATCATCCTGTCTCAGCCTCCAGAGGCCTGGGATCACAGATGTGTGTCACCATGCCCAGCTGCGATGTCTTTAGCGGTCCCAAATACTCACCAACTCCAGCATTGCATTCTTCAAGAGTTTTTATTTAATTCCCTGGGGGCAAAGGAACAAATCTGTCTTCAAAGTCTGGGGATTTTTATGGCATCTACACATGTAGTCACTGACCCAGTCTGCGTTGGAGTCTTGAGGGGTCTCTGATTCCTTTTCTGACTTTGGGGAACCCTCTCAGCCCAGGCTACGCTGAGGCACCTGGGCCAGGAGAAACCTTGACTATAGAGATGGGGTGGGCCGGCCTGGGGCTGGGGCAAGGTTTGGTTGCCAGCTGTGGCAGGCGGGTGGAGGGCTGGGGGAAAGAAGTGGAGTAGACCCGCTGGGCCTTCAGGTCCTCGCTGGGGGTGCCCAGCACTTTCCCCTGTCCAGGCCAGGCATTGCTCCTCTTTGGGACCTCCCAGGACCTGTACCAGACATTGTTGTAGAATGGATTTCCTAAGAGGAAAGGCCATATAAATTAAGAGGTGGCTGTCAGCCAGGTGTCATGACACCCACCTGTCATTCCAGCACCCTGGGAGGCTGAGGCAGGAAGACCCCAACTTTGAGCCCAGGTCAGGCAACTTAGCAACTGAACAAGACCCTGTGTTAAAATGAAACGTGGATGGGGCCAGGAGATAATGCAGTAGAATAAGTGCTTGCCTTGCAAGCACAGGGTCCTGAGTTCAATCCTTGGTACCAAAAATAAATAAAATAGAAATGAAACATGAAACTCAGTACAAAGGCCTTGGGTCCCATCCCCACCCAGTACTGGAAAAGTGTCATTTAGGAGAGGCTGGCGCTCTCAGCTCATCTCAGGGGCTTCGTCCCTATTCCTGAAGGACATGGATCTAGGAACAGCCTTCTCCACTGCCCTCCAGCTCCATAGCCCACCTTCCCTTGGCGTTTAGGAATGCAGGACCATCCCATCCTCCTCCCGCGGATGCAGTTCCTACCTCCGCCGCAAGAGGACAGTATCGCAGCGCACTCTCACCCGAGTCTTGTCTTGGCAGCGGCGGCGGTCCCAGAGCCCAGCGACCAGCGCGCAGGCAGCAACCATGGCCACGCCTCCGGCCACCAGCCGCAACTACAGGAGTCCTTGGGGAACAGGGTCCGGGTGAAGGGGACTGGCACAGAGCGGGGGAGTAGGCTGAGGCGGGGACACGCGGGCGGGGCTCACCTGAGACCCTGGGGGTCGGGTTCTGGTTGTGTGGAGAGCCATCTGCAGGGAAAAATCTGTGTCACTTGCCTGTGACACCTGCGCGGCAGCCGCCTGCACTCCCAGGCTGAGCGCTCCCTGCCAGCCCGTTCAGCTCCGTGTACCTGCTGCTGCTCAGGCTGTTTGAATTCAGACAGATACTCGCTTACTCCCCTCTTTGGGGGTTTATAGTGAGATACTGAAATCTGTTTTTTGTTTTGTTTTGTTTTCTTCTGGTACTGGCATTGAATTCAGGACCTTCATACTGAGCTCCGTCCCTAGCCCTTTTAATTTTTAAATTTTGAGACAGAGCTCAGCTAAATTGCCCAAGCTGGATCCCAGTTGCAATCCTCCTGACTCAGTCACTTAATTCTAAGGACATTAACCAACACCCTTTATATTCACCTAGTTAGGCTAGGAAAGCATATCTAGCTGTACTCTGACAGCTAGGGGAGCAAACTCAGAAAGGTCAAGTTACTGGTGCAAGGTCACACAGCAAATCAACAAGAAAGAGGACCTCAAAAACCATCTTTGTCGGGGCTGGTGAGATGGCTCAGTGGTGTAAAGCACCTACTTGGAACAAGCTTAGCAAAGCACAGGGACCACGGTTCAATCCCCCAGCACCACGTGCCAGTCAGCCCCGCCCCCTGTGGGATGAGCTGGCCACACACACACACACACACACACACATAAAATTAAAAAAAAAAACATCTTTGTAGGGGGCCTGGCCCTAGCTCAGGCCTTTAAGTGGCTGCTTCCACAAAGCTGTCAGCCTCAGGTTGCTGGAGTTCAAACCTCACACCTCTCCCACTGGCCAATAGTGCCCTGAAGGCATTCGAGGAACCAAAAAAAAAAAAAATCCTTATTCCATTTTGGGGCTGGTGAGATGGCTCAGTGGTCTAAAGCACCTACTTAGAACAAGCTTAGCAAAGCACAGGAACCGTGGTTCAATCCCCCAGCACCACATGCCAGACAGCCCCGCCCCCTGGTGGGCTGAGCTGGCCACACACACACACACACACACACACACACACACACACAAATAAAATAAAATTAAAAAAAAAAAAAAACATCTTTGTACAAATGGCATAATGTAACCCCCAGCCTGGCAAGCGCAGGGTCCTGAGTTCAATCCCTGGTTCCGAAGAAAGTAAAAAAGAGGCCCTCTGCAGACCCTGGAGTTGGCGGGCAGTTTCTGGCAGCTGCCAAATCTCAGTGGTGGGGGAGGAGACGCCAGCTGTGCGGAGCTGGACCCAAGCCCGCAGCTCCCTTCTTCCTCGAAGCTCCCTTTGAGCGGCCTGGCACGCGCTACCCCGCCCCTGCTAATTGCTGATTCACCCCCTCGACAGGGGAGCGCTGGGGATCTGTGAGAGCACCCCCGGAAAGCGACAGCGCACCCATCAGCTGCCGGGAGGAACACAGGGCTCAGCCCACGCCCCGCCCGCCCGCAGGGTCTCTCAGCAGATTAGGGGGACCGGGTCCCGAGCGTGCCTCTGGGTCTGTTAGATGAAGCCCGGGCCTCAGCTAAGCTCGCAGCTCTGCAGCTTCCCTGTCCCACACCCCACCCACACCCACACCCACACCCCGCCCCCCCCACATCGTCCTGGGGGTGGAGCCGGCGCCTCACACTGAGATACTCCCCCAACACTTTTTAAATTTTTTATTTTGAGATAGGGTCTTGCCAAGTCCGAGTGCCCCAGGCTGGGTTACAACTTGTGGTCTTCTGGCCTCAGCCTCCCAGAAGCCAGGCTGGGATGACACGTGTGTGGCACCACACCTGGCTTCTCCTCCCATATGAGAGGTGATAGCTTTCCACTCAGGATTCTAGGATTCTAGAATTCTTTGCCCTTCTAGGGAGATTGCAAAATTCTAAGCATCTAAGTACAGAGAGTACTGCAATCTAAGAGGCTAGAACTGTTCATTCGTAGAATGTTTCTCAATCTTATTTTCATTACTACACCCCTGAGATTTACAAGCTTTTTTGAAATTGTTTTTTCTTTTTTTGAGACAAGGTCCTGGCTGCATAGTTCAGGCTGACCTCCAATTCACTGCAGTCCCCCTGATTCAGCCTCCCAAATGCTAGGATTGCAGCTGTGTGCCACCACGCCCAACCCTGAAGTCCCTATAAGTCCCCCATAAAAGTGAACTCCCCAATTTCACTGAGCCTGTTTCTGCTCTGGGCATGTACTGAGGCTTTGTGCTTAGATGCCGGAGGAACCCGGGGCTGCGGCTCCTGCTGAGCGCTCGCTGTCACGTGTGAGGCCCTGGGCTCCATCCCCAGCAAAGCAGAGCCAAAAAAGCAAAAGAGAGACTTTCTCTTTACCCCTAAGAACGAATATTCGGGGCTGGTGAGATGGCTCAGTGGTCTAAAGCACCTACTTAGAACAAGCTTAGCAAATCACAGGGACCGCAGTTCAATCCCCCAACACCACATGCCAGCCAGCCCCGCCCCCTGGTGGGCTGAGCTGCCCCCCCCCATAAATAAATTAAAGAATGAATATTCACCTCCTGAGGGACAACTTAATTCTAAGAGCCTGCAACTGTCCGTGTGCTAATGTGAGTAGAACTGCCTGATCCTATTTATGGTTTGAGATTGGAGAGTTGTCCTGGGCACAGCAGAAATGCACACATGTTCACCAATTTAGGTAAGACAAGGCTGCAGCAGCGCAGGACCTTGGGCCAGTGATGAGGCAGTCACTCCATGGACTGCTATAGCCAGGAAGAAGGGTGGGGCACCAATAAAAGTGAATTTCTCGGGGCTGGGGAGATGGCTCAGTAGAATAAGTGCTTCCCTGGCAAGTGCAAGGGCCTGAGTTCAATCCCCGGTTCCACAAAAAAAAAAAAAAAAAAAGTGAATTTCTCAGACATAATGTGGAGTATAAACAGGCAGACATAAAAGGGAACATACTTAGTAAGTCTATTCTTTTTTTTTTTTTTTTTTTTTTCAGTACCAGGGATTGAACTCTTGGCCTCACACTTGCTAGGCAGGCAGTTATGCCACTGAGCTATCTCCATGGCCCTTGTAAGTATATTGAAGTGAAATACATATTGGGTGTGAGAATGCACGCCTGTGATCCCAGGCTCTGGCAGGCTGGGGCAGGAGCCCAGGCTGGCCAACTTAGTGACTTGGTGAGACCCTGTCTTAAAATAAAGGTATGAAAAGGGTCAGGGATACAGCTCTGTGCAAAGGCCCTGGATTCCATTCCTGCCACCACAAAAAGTAGAAATGGAAACCTAGACTACCCCCCACCCCCCAGCCCCCTGCCTGCCCCTGGGCTCGCCCACCTGCGTCACCCAGGAGCTGTGTCTGGTTCCCCTCCGCCTTCTCCAGCTCAGGAATTTCCACAGTTGCCCGGCACACATAGGCCCCACTGTCACTGAGGGCCAGCTGGTCCAGCTGCAGCCGCATGTCCCCAGGCGCCCGCCAGGACAGCTGTCCCCGGGGACCACACCTGCCAGGGCTGTGGGTGCCATTGGGAAGGAGCAGCTGACACACAGCGGCACCGTTCTTGGTCCACTCCACTTGGAGCTGCTCCCAGGCCTGCGCCTGAGTCACCTGTCAGGCCAGGGTGGCCTGACCACCCTGTGTCGCCCTCAGGGACACAGGCCACTGCTGCACAATCAGGCTTGTGGCTCCTTGCAGGGCTGGGGGACAGATGAGGCTGGTGAGTCCTTTCCAGTGAGTATGTGAGACTCAACTCCTCTCTGAGCCTGTGGGGTGGGCTTGGAGCCTGCTGTCCCTGTGCCCCGGGGGTGTCAGTTCTTCTTAGGGGCTCGGTGGTTCAATCTGTGGAATGGGTTCAACTCACTCCACTGTAAGAGTTGCAGCAGGACTCTGGGACATATCCAGCACTCAACTGTACAACTGTCTCCCAGCCCAGGCCCCAGCCCATGGCTGAGTGTGGGGAACACAGCAGAGATCAAGAGGAACAAAAAAGAAAGGCATGGTAGTGCCCAGTGTCATCCCAGCACACGGAAGCTCAGGAAGCCAAGAGAGGGTTAGGGTTAGGGGGTCTTTGATCAGCGCAGGGGAGCGTGGGGTGAAGCTACTCTGTGCTGTGATGGATCTGAACTGCCCGGTGGGCCCTGTGGAAGGTGAGTCCTGGCTTCTGAAGGCAGCTGGGTGGCAGCTGGACCAGCTGCAGATGGGGAGGGAGAGCAGGTGGCCAAGCAGCTGGAGGGGCTGGAACCTGATGTGATGGGGGTGGGGAGAGGAAGAAGAAAAGCCGCTGGGCACAGCATGGCCCACGCCCGTCATCCCAGCACTCCAGGAGGCTGAGGCAGGTGGTTGTAAGTTTGAATCAAGCCTGGACAACTGAATGACTTAGCAAGGTCCTTCCTCAACCACTAAACACTTTTTTTTTTTTTTTTTAAATTGGTACTGGGACTCTAACTCACAAACCTGTGCTTTCCAGGCAGCGTTGTGCTGCTGAGCTATGTACCTGGCTCTAAAAACAATTTGTTAAAAAATATTGTTTAAAAAAGGGGGCTGAAAAAAAAATTAAAAAGGGGGCTGGGGAAAAAAGAGGGGCTGGGGATGTAAGTTAATGTGAAGGCCTTAGTTTAACCCCTCAGTCAGAGAGAGAGAGAGAGAGAGAGAGAGAGAGAGAGAGAGAGAGAAAGAGAAGAGAAGAGAAGAGAAGAGAAGAGA